GAGGAGGGAGGGAGGGAAGGAGAAAGAAAAAGAAAGAGCGAAAGAAAAGAAGAGGAGGAGGAGGGAGAGAGAGAGAAAGAAAGACAGGGAAGGAGGGAGGGGGAAAGTAAGGGAGGGAGGATGAGGAAAGAAAGAAATGAAAGAAAGAAGGGAGGGAGAGAAAGAGACAGAGAAAGAAGAGGAGGAGCAGGAGGAGGGAGAGAAAGAAAGAGAGAGGGGGGAGGGAGAAAGGGAGGGAGGATGAGAGAAAGAAAAGAAAGAAAGAAAGGAGGGAGGGAGAGAGAGAAAAAAGAAAGAGAAAGAAAGCGGGCGGAGGGAGAGAGAGAAAGAAAGAAAGACAAAAGAAAGAAAGAAAGAGAAAGAAAGAAAGAAAGAAAGAAAGAAAGAAAGAAAGAAAGAAAGAAAGAAAGAAAGAAAGAAAGAAAGAAAGCCCTTAGATATTCTCAAAATTTTCAAATGGGTATTTTCAAGTTTGTACATTTGTAGAGATAAAGTTGGTTTGAAACCTACTGCATTTTGAGCTCTCTTTTTGCTCTCCTTCTAATGCTCTTATTGGATTTGGTTCTTGTTCCCTTTTTTAGGGGGCAAGATGGCTCAGCAATTAAAGATGCTGAGCTGTCAGCTGGGGAGCTGACAGTCCAGGTTCAAGACTCCAGCACCGTGCAATGGAGTGAGCTCCCATTCCTTTGCAGCAGGTCCTGCCAACCTAGCAGTTTGAAAGCATGCAAATGTGAGTAGATTAATAGTACCATTCCGGTGGGATGGTAACAGCGTTCCATGTGCCTTTGGTGTACAGCCATGCTGGCCACATGGCCATAGAAAATGTATTTGGACAATGCTGCCCTAGAGTCAGACATAACTAGACAGGGAAGCTTTTCCCTTTTCCTTTTTTGACCACCAATGAGTTTCGTACACCAATCAATGAGACCCATTTAGGTCTCGCACATTTTTCCTGCCAAATAGATTAAGTGAAGGTTATTGATTAATGATTGGCAATAACCTCTTGACATTTAACCGTCGCTTTAATCCCAGCAAGGACATCAGTGAAAATCAGTTGCAAGCAATTCCTGTTACAGTGGAAATTCGGGTCACGACCGTAGTCCGTTCCAGTAGACAGCATGACTGTCTGTGCATGCGCAGACCCCCAAAAAATGGCGCCAAAGGAGAAATCTCCATGGCAATTTTCAGGTTTACTTGGTCACCACCCAAAGATCTGTTCGCGACCAGAAGAAAACTGTTCCGAAAATTCTGGTCGTCAGCCAATTTGGTTGCGAATAGGAGTGTTTGCAACCCAGGGTTCCACTGTATTCACAGTATTTAAGTTCAGTGAGAACGGCACAAATAGTGGTAGAAGAGAACATTAGTAGCTCAGAGCTGAATTGTGGTGTTCTCTGAGCTTGGTGGTTTTCCTGCAGCGTTATCAGCAGTAACACTGACGATGTTTCTTAGTTTGGTAATGAAATGTCTACAAGAACACCACCAAGCGCAGAGAGCATCAAGGACCCCACACAAATACTTAAATTACTGAATTTCAGTATACAAATACTGAAAGATATTGAATTAGTGAAGGTTGAAAATTCAGCATGTAGGTCAATTCCAATATTTTGCCAAGTTCTCATATCCACAAGTAAATGTGACTGTGCCATGAGTACTGATTTCTGGGTTATAAGAACATTTTTTGCAAATAAGTGAATTTGCAAATATTTGCAAGCCCACAAATAATGAGGGTTGCTTGTATATCCATGGCAGGCAACATCTTTATGGACATGAGATTTTAACATGAGTGGCAGGCAAAAAGAAAAAAGAAACTAAGCATAGTTCACAAAATTGTCTGCTATAACATCTTGCCTATCAATGACTTCTTCAGCTTCAATCAATATAACACACGGGCAAACAACCAATACAAACTCAAGGTAAAACCGCTCCAAACTCGATTGCAGAAAACACGACTTCAGCCACAGAGTGGCCAATGCCTGGAACGCCCTACCCGACTCCGTTGTGGCAGCCTCAACCCCCTCACAGCTTCAACCTCCAACTGTCTACTGTGGATCTCACCCCATTCCTAAGAGGTCCTTAAAGGGGGTGTGCACACTAGCATGCCTACCGTCCCTGTCTTAACTGCCCCCATTTATCTGTATTTAGTTCCACCTCATGAGAAAGAAGGACTCCCTGGAGAAGAGCTTAATGCTGGGAACAATTGAGGGCAATAGAAGAAGGGGAGGACAGAGAATGAGGTGGCTGGATGGAGTCACTGAAGCAGTCGGCGTGGGTTTAAATGGACTCCAGGGGATGGTAGAGGACAGGAAGTCATGGAGGAACGTTATCCGTGGGGTCACGATAGGTCGTAACTAACAACAACTTCCTTTGTTCTTGTTTATGTTCATACTTATACTTGTTATCTTGTACATGTTTGACAAACAAACAAACAAAAAGAGCCCTGGAAAATGAATTTTTATTTATTTTTATTGATATTCATAAACAGATTTCTGTATATTTTCAAATGAAACAGGTGACAGATATCTAGTTAAGGCTTCAAAGGAGGCTAGGTTTATGTAATGGGCAGCAGGAATAACTTTTGGGAACAGGAGGAAGAGCTGTAACTAAGGCAGCAGTCAGATAAAAGGAATCTGAGTCCCGGGAAGAAATGCAATTTGAGAAAGTGTCTCAGGCATGAACCTCCCTGATCCTCATGATTAGGGGTCTCCAACTTTAAGACATGCAAACTTCAAGTCCCAGAATTCCCCATGGCTGGCTGAGGAATTCTGGGAGTTGAAGTCCATCAATCTTAAAGTGTGTGCCATTTACTTTCTTCCTACATCTAACTGCATGAGTAGGGGTCTTCAAATGTAGCAACTTTAAGACCGATGGACTTCAAATCCCAGAATCCCTCATGGCTGGCTGAGGAATTCTGGGAGTTGAAGTCCACAACTGTTAAAGTTGCCAAGTTTGGAGAGTCCTACTTGTGAAGATAGAGGGACAGTAGGGGCAGCAGTGGGATCCTACCTGTTCCACTACTGGTTGGGTGATCGTGCGCATGCACCTAACACACATGTGCAACTTTCCCCACACCAGCCTAAGGCCTGCAGTGCCAATCAGCTGAGAGGATAAAGGATAAGGGAGAGAAAAGTGCAGGGTCCGGTGGGAGGGCCGATCCTCACTTTTCTCTTCTTTCTTCTTTCAGCTGATAGTCGGCTTTTTTCCCTCCTCTCAGCTGAACGTCAGAGGTTTTTTTTTTTACTACCAGTTTCGATGAACCGGTCCGAATCAGTAGCATGTGACCACTGGACTGCATTCAGACTTGCATGATTGATCTTCAGATAGAGCAGACCAGCGGGGCTGAGCTATGAATGCCCATAGTACCTTATTATAAGTTTACAGGAACAAAATCAATGTTTGTGTAGTAGTTGTGCCTGCCATCGTTAAGCCCCCATTTTTCACTCCCTTGCAAACCCATGTCTCTTCTGGGATCCTCAGAGCACCGAGAAGTGGGAAGGCCTATAGCCTTGTTGTTGTTGCGTAAGGCAGGGGTCCCCAACCACCGGGCCCCGGACCGGTACCGGTCCATGGAACATTTTCTACTGGGCCACCGGTTTGCTGGGCGCCGCCATCTTGTTTTGACGAGAAAGTGCTTCTGGGTGAGCTTTTCCGGTTGGAAAGCGGCGTTTGGGTCCTGAAGGAATCCTCGCACCTTAGTTTCATCGAAGGGGGGGGGCGGTTTTGAATGAAGAGCCATCCCAATGGTGGAGGAGATTAAGAAAGCACAAAAAAGCACAAAAAATGTACAAAGGAGGAGTTGAAAGTGGCGGGGAGAAGCGGGGGACGGATGGCTGGCCGGTCGCTCGGCTTGCCTTGCCTTGTCATGCGTGCTGATGCCGGTACCGGGCCACGGATCATTTTGTGATGCCGGTACCAGGCCGTGGCACAAAAAAGGTTGGGGGCCACTGGTGTAAGGGATACCCTATTCTGGAGAGTTTGGGGACAAAACTGGTGTCATTCATCCATTTTAAGGGGCACCTGTCTTTTCCCATGATGATGCCGACCTGATAAAATATGCATTCTGACATCATCATGCAAGCTCCGCCTTTTGAATTTGCATTGTGAGACAGCCCACATGATGTCACAGCTTGAGTTTGCATTGGTTAATCCCCTATGCTCACCTCTAAGGGGCACTCCACACCCCCAAATGGACCCAGACATATTCCCCCTCCCCCATTCTGGAAACCCCATACCATCATTGACAAGCCCCCAACATCCCCTAGGAAGGTGAAATTTGCCTCTCTTGTGAAACTACCCATCCCTGTCTTGAATCTTCCTGTAAGAAGAACAGGAGAAAAAAAAATTGGTTTTACGGTTGTTTTTTGTCAAGTTTTAGCTACTACTGATATTTCTAGAGTCAGAGAAAAATGATGAATTTTTAAAGGTTTCTAAAATCCCAAGCATTAGAGCTATGGTGGCGGCGTAGTGGTTAGAATGGGGTATTGAAGGCTGACACTGCCCACTGCCCAGAGTTCAATTGTGACCTTTCCGAGGTTGGTAAAATGAAGACCCAGTTTGTTGGGGAGGAGGGCAATACGCTGACTGTAAAGCACTGTGAAGCGGTATATAAGTCTAAGTGTTATTGCTATCTCTGCCATAGTGGTGCAGTGGTTAGAATGCAGTATTGCAGGCGGACTTGGCCCACAGCCTGGAGTTCGATCCTAACTGGCTCAAGGTTGACTCAGCCTTCCATCCTTCTGAGGTCAGTAAAATAAGGACCCAGATTGTTGGGGGAAATAGGCTGACTAAACCGCTTAGAGAGGGCTGTAAAGCACTATGAACAGTGGTGGAATTCTGCCAGTTTGGACCAGTTTGAGCGAACCGGTAGTCCTGGTGATCATTTGGCCCTGCCCACCGGCCCCTGCCTTGGTCTATCCTTTGTTTCCATGTTTTGCAGCTCAGCTGATTTGCACGGCATAGCCTCAGCTGTTTTATTTATTTTTATTTTATTTTATTTTATTTGGTTTGTCAATTGCTTGCAAGATAATAGGTATAAGTAAAAACGTAGTTATGAATACATGGATACATATAAGAAAAATAAAAGAAACAATAGGACAGGGACGGTAGGCACGATTGGTGCGCTTATGTACGCCCCCCTACAGGCCTCTTAGGAAAGGGGTGAGGTCAATAGTCTAAGGTTAAAGTTTTTGGAGTTTGGGGAAGAAACCACAGAGTCAGGTAGAGTATTCCAGACATTGACCACTCTGTTGCTGAAGTCGTATTTCCTGCAATCAAGTTTGGTGCGGTTAACCTTGGGTTTATATCTATTGTGTGCTCTTGTGTTGTTATGGTTGAAGCTGAAGTATTCATTGACAGGTAGGACATTGCAATGTATGATTTTATATACCATGCTTAAATCAGACCGAAGACGGCGTAATTCAAGGTTTTCTAGGTCTAGAATTTCAAGTCTGGTGGCATAAGGTATTCTACAACGAGTAGAGGAGTGGAGAACTCTTCTTGTGAAATATTTCTGGACTTTCTCAACTGTGCTAATATCAGATACGTAATGTGGGTTCCAGACTGATGAGCTGTATTCGAGTATTGGTCTAGCAAATGTTTTGTATGCTCTAGTTAGTAGTGTGATATTACCAGAGAAAAAGCTACGTAGGATTAGGTTAACAACTCTTAATGCCTTTTTGGCTACGTAGTTACAGTGGGCTCTAGCACTTAGGTCATTAGAGATGAGTACTCCAAGATCCTTTCTGATTTTTTTTTTGCCAATATGTAAGACAGAGCATTTATTTGTTGAGATTTGAAGTTGCCATTTGTTTGACCATTCTGATACATAGTCGAGGTATTTACTCACCAGGGCTACAGTAGAAGGTAAGTATTAGAAATGGAAATGGGCAGTTTTAAAATGACATGCAGGCGCAAAAGCATGTGTTCACCGAACCGGTTGCTACATCGGTTGTATCCCACCATTGACTATGAAGCAGTATATAAGTCTAAGTGCTATTGCTTAGTGCTATTTCCATCCCCTTATCAGTCCTCCAATGATGGAATTTTCCAACCAGACTTAAGGTAGTTTCAACACTCACGTGCCACCATGGTTCATTAGGAACTCAGCTCCTGAACTGACATGGGCCATGGCCCTTGTGCTGAGGTCACACTTTGTTAATAAGTTCCCTGCACACCCTGCTTGGAGGTTTTTTTTTTTTTTCATTTGTGGGTTCTCTGGCCTCTTTATCTCTAGGAGGCCAGGTATCGTATGAACTAAATTTCTTGGTTTATTTGTTTTTGCAAGCGTGGCTTATCTGGATAACCTTTATATTGCTTTACAGGTAAAGTAATCCATAAAAGATAACCCTCCAAATACTTTTTTTAAAAGATTGTCCAAAGTACATAAATATGTCTTTGCTGATGCTCTCCGTGGTCAATTATAACCATCTGGTCTGCAAGGAGCTTTTTCGACTTGTCTCTTTGCAGTGGCAGCCCTCTGATTTAGATTGCAAATGTCGTGGAAGGAAGAAAAACTCATGCACACTTTTAATGGCATCAGGTTTACTACGAGATCCTCACCGGAACTTTTAAATGCTTTGGTTTCATTTGATGCTAGAGAAGATGATATTCTGTTGGTTTCCTACCCCAAATCTGGTAAGGTTCATTTGGAATTTGGCTGAAAGAGAATTTGTTAGATGAGTTAGAAAAGATTGCATGCAAGAGGTTGGCTGAATTCATTCAGTATTGTCGAAAGGTGGGCTAAAAATTCTGTACTATAAGAAATGCAATGAATGCAAGGAACCAGGTTAAAGGCTTGAGAACTGCATTCACACTCACAATAAACTTAAGCTATGTTGGTTTTAATATTAGTTAGGTTGTTGGTTCTTTAAGTGCATAGCTAGTCATGTGAATCCAACCCAATTGGATTTTTTTGGTGACTACTGGATATTGTGCAAAAACAGAAAAAAGAGCTTAATTTGGAGCCTTTTTTGAGAATTCCAGAAACTGGAAATAAACCCTGGGTTCTAGCAAAAATGTTATAAAGACTGGTCATGTGATCACCAGGCACTGCAAATGACTGTAAATTTGGACAGGTTCCTGAGCACCCAAAAGGTCCACATATGAAGGTCCAATTAAATTGAATTATTGCTAATTATGCCTATGCACAGGAAACTTGTCAACTAATGTCAGCACCTGCTGGGACCTAAATAAGAGTCAATAGAATTCAAGGAGGGTTGGACTTAATCTATTTCATCATCACCATCAATTCTTTATTGGCCAAGTGTGATTGGACACACAAAGAATTTGTCTTGGTGCAAATGCTCTCAGTGTACATAAAAGAAAAGATATATTCATCAAGAGTCAAGAATCATAAGGTACCACACTTAATGATAGTCATAGGGTACAATAAGCAATCAAATCATACTAGGAAACAGTCAATATAGATCATAAGGATATGAGTGACAAAGTTATGGTCATACAGTCATAAGTGGGAGGAGAAGATGAGAAGATTAATAGTGATAGTAATGCAGACTTAGTAATAGTTGGACAGTGTTAAGGGAATTATTTGTTTAGCAGAGTGAGGGCGTTCGGGGAAAAACTGTCCTTGTGTCTAGTTGTTCTGGTGGGGAGTGCTGTATAGCGTTGTTTTGAGCGTAGGAGTTGAAACAGTTTATGTCCGGGATGTGAGGGGTCTGTAGATATTTTCACAGCCCTCTTTTTGACTCGTGCAGTATACAGGTCCTCCATGGAAGGCAGGTTGGTAGCACCTGATGCCAATACTACCATAGCTTTGGGATTCTTGTATAACATTGTTAGTAATCAGCAGAATAAGTATCCTGATGCTGTGCATACCATAGTGGGGGACTTTTATAAAGCTGATTTAAAAGAAGCTCTCCCTAAATTCTATCAGCATGTTAAGTGTGCTACTAGAGGAGCAAACATATTGGACAAAGTATATACCAATATCAAACATGGCTACAAGGTTATACAATTAGCACATT